AATGTTAAATATGTATGCTTTTGTTTTGTATTTTTACACAGTAGCTTCAAAATCATATTTCAAATTCATGTATATCTATAATAGCTATAGTAGCTTTTTTTATTTTTTGCTTAACGTATAAGTTACGTAAACTTCACCAGTTTCACCATATTGTTTGTTAACAATTTAAGCATCTGTACAGAATCTATAGTGGACCTTAATGTACTATCCAAATAAAGTGAGATTGTGATATCTAGTGATAGTGATGTGAGCTTCATACTTTGACAGCTTCTTACATTTTTGGCACTGGATAAAAGAAAAAAAAAAACATCCTCTCCAAGCCCTGCTGCCATTTTACACTAAAGCCTCCTGTTTTAACATCTGGAGTTCATTCAACAACTCAAGCAAATCAAGCTAGGTATCATTAGCCAACTGAACTGTTGGAGACTTTTCAGCTAATCTACATTACATCCATGAGCTAATGACAGGGTTGTTGTCTGTTGCCAATGATGTTGCCCGTGAGCTCAACCTTCATGGGCTGTTGGACTGTTTAGAAATCACACACTTAGGTGGTCCCTCCCTAATAAGTCTACATTTCCACCAACATTTAGCCCAAACGTTCTGGTTCTCCCCAGATGTTCTCATTATGAGATCATGGTAGGCCTCACGAGATCAGTGATGGAAATGAAACTCTTTATTTGAGCGTCTTTAATTAATTTGAATTATAACAGAATTATTGAATATTGATCTGATTTGGGTTAAATCGAATTTTGCCACTGAGAAACATGCTCGACCCACAAGTGGTTAATTCTGCTCTAAGCTCAACTTTTTTGTGTCCCGTCCGGTTTAACACAGGACAAGCTAATTTAACACCATTGAGGTTACTGAGAATTTCCTCTGAGATTGTTTGTGGTTCTGATAGCATATCATGATGTTCCAGATCGTTCTAGAGCAGCTCCTTATTGAGGCTTTAAAGATCACTCATTATCCTCCTTGGTCACAGGAGCCTACCCCAGCACTCACCAGGCAGAAGACAGGAAAGACCCTGGACAGGTCACCAGTCTATCAGAGGGCAGACATACACAGTCACACACACCTAGGGGCAATTTAGTATCTCCAGTTGACCTGACTGCAATGTCTTTGGACTGGGGGATGAAACCCACACAGACATGGGGAGAACATGCAAACTCCACACACAAAGGACCCTGGTCACCTGGCTGAGGAATCAAACCCAGGCCCTTTTCGCTCAGAGGCAACATCACTACCCATTGTGCCACCATGATTTAAAGGTCAGGTATTGGTAAACTAGCTGTTAAGCATTGACACTGGTGTTTTGTTTTATTTGAGGGATCAGTGTCATAAGAAATGCTTGAGGAGGTGTACGACTAGAAGGCTGGGGGAAACTACACCAGAAGCCATGCTAAATAACACGTTTCAACAGAGTAGAACACTTAACTATCAACAGCACTACTCACAGGAGAACACATTTCTGCTTGAGGACAGAGAAGAGTCTAGATGCTGGTCTCCCATGTGTCTTGAAGGATGCCGGGTCAAGCCAACCTGTACCTGAAGCTCTGCTTGTGGTTACCATGGAAATAAGAGATTATAATGAATCACATATAGTAACAGAAATGCAATTCAACTGAGATTAGTTATATTGAGCATCATTACTAAACACAGTACTATTTGAGAACTGTATTTCAGAAGAAGCCAGCTTATTATACACCAATCAGGCATAACATTATGACCACCTCCTTGTTTCTACACTCATTGTCCATTTTATCAGCTCTACTTACTATATAGGTGCACTTTGTAGTTCTACAGTTACAGACTGTAGTCCATCTGTTTCTCTGCACATTTCGTTAGCCCCCTTCTACCCTGTTCTTCAGTGGTCAGGACCCCCATGGACCCTCACAGAGCAGGTACTATTTGGGTGGTGGGTCATTCTCAGCACTGCAGTAACACTGACGTGGTGGTGGTGTGTTAGTGTGTGTGGTGCTGGTATGAGTGGATCAGACAAAGCAGTGCTGCTGGAGTTTTTAAACACTGTGTCCACTCACTGTCCACTCTGTTAGACACTCCTACCTTGTCAGTCCACCTTGTAGTAAAGTCAGAGATGTTAGCTCATCTGCTGCTGCACAGTTTGTGTTGGTCATCCTCTAGTCCTCATTTGGGCAACTGGTTGTTACTGAGATAAGAACTGAGTCAAGGGACATCAGTGGTCACAGGACGCTGCCCACAGGACACTGTTGGCTGGACATTTTTGGTTGGTGGACGATTCTCAGTCCAGCAGTGACACTGAGGTGTTTAAAAACTCCAGCAATACTGCTGTGTCTGATCCACTCAGACCAGCGCAACACACACTAACACACCACCACCACGTCAGTGTTACTGCAGTGCTGAGAATGATCCACTGCCCAAACAGTACCTGCTCTGTGAGGGTCCATGGGGGTCCTGACCTCTGAAGAACAGGGTAAAAGTAAAAACAATAAACTTGAATGTCTTACCTCCTCCTGGTGCTTGTTACATGCCATATATTTTTGTTTGTTTTATTTTGTTTGTTTACTCTGTAAAAGTGATGTGTTGAACCAATAAGGCACCGCTGATTTTTGGGCTGCACTCTTTCGGCAATCAAACCAACTCACCGCTGTCTGTTGAGAGGCGGATCTTGGCAAATAATCATACCTGATCGAGAGGAGTTGTGTGTGGGAGTGCTTTGTGTGTGTGTGTGTAAGAGAGACTGTTAGGTCACTAGTGGTGCTGTTTCAGGCTGTGCTACTCAACAGTTTTAAAATGTAGTCAGTAAATATTTTAGTTTCACTTTGGTGCTCCCTCTCTTGATGCTGTCCTCCATGTTACATCCTCTCTACCTGTAGCAGCTCTCTTACCCAGCAGCTTTGCTAACTTGTGCCACACTGCACTGAAACTTAAACCGTACAGGCAATAATCCACATTGGTAAGCCAATACAGCCTCTCCATGGCCTACTTTACAAAGTAATCATGTTTATAATTCACAATTCCATTCAGTCAAACGAAAGTCAGCATTTATGGACTTTGCTACCAAAAATGTTGACTTTTTTGTCTCTGTTCATGTGGGACTGTGAGTGTGAGTTTTTTTTTTTTTTAATTTTGTCCTCAAATGTTGTCGTATCCAATACCACCCACTCGTTAGGACTCCCCCAAACACACAATACTATAAGCTCTAGAAGGGTGAAGGCTAGCACAGGCTTCTTCCGAGACCTGTGAAGCACCACCGCATCTTTTCGAACTGACGCAACATCACTGCACGGCTAAATGTGCTCGAAGGAAAGGGCCAACCAGCAGTTCTGTTATGTCCTGTTATGTTCTGTTATGGGTGATCTCCAATGAAATCAATTAATCAAATTAAAATAATTAAATAAAAATTTTAAACATTCATCACCACAGAAGCAGTTGATCAGCCAAGACATGTTTGATATCTCATGTGTGTTTATTTAGCTTAAAACGGGAGATGATAGGCTAAAGCTGCTAACAAACACTGGACATACATTGTCACCAATCTCATCTCCACATATACATGCCAAAATTCTAATTTACTTCAAAAATCTATTGAAAAGCTACATAAGCAAGTGTGGCATGCGCCCTAGGCCCTGATGACGGCTGCGAGAGCCAGCAGGAAGGCAGACAAACCCCGCAAAGACAGCAGGGAGAGGATGACATTCACAAGGGAGTGGGGGACAGCGCGAGTCCCAAGCCCTGCCTCCTGGGCACCACCTCCAGTCCTGCGGTGAGGCCACTTTAATTTGCCACATATTCAATCCTTGTGGATGAGCCGGAGAGTGGGGGGTGGTGATGGAAGCAGAGCAATGAGCTCTCGTTCCCTCCCTCTCTCCCTCTTGCCATTCAGTAAAAGAATCTTTGTGTATGCTGTGATCATTTTTAACGTGGCTTGGATTACAAGTAGGATATTATAAAATCTGCAGCTGTTCCAGCTAAATTTCAACAGATCAGAATTTGAGATGACTTTGTTTACTGTCTCTGCCGTCTGTTTGTGCTCACATGGCTTCTCTTTTGTCACATGCAGCAAACATGCTTGACAAACTTTGCTTTATGCAGTTTGGCTTTAGACACCATCTTCAAAGCACTGGCATCAATAGCTCCCACTTCCCACAGGAAAGACACTCAACCTCAGATGGAATCACCTGGTACAGTCTCATCTGGAGTAAGTGATATGTTGATGTGAATCAACATCATGTTCACTCTCACACTGTCTATCAAAAAGTCCACCAATGACACTGGAATTTGGCCCAATCATGAAATTCAGTTGGCAAGTTGGGCTTTTAACAGGCTAAAATCTCACAGTGTGTGCCTGGCTTTACTTAGACTGTCTTTCTCATTTCTGATCTGGTCCTGTATCTTCCAGATCCCTAAATCACTTTCTGTTTCCAGTCCAGCTTCATTCCTCTCGCTATCCTCGATGCCATTCTCTCTCAATGTCATTGATTCAGTACCAGAGTTGGCCAATCATGTCCCTGAATTCTGCACCCTGTTTCTTGCCCTGTCACTGATTCAGCTCCCTCCTATTTCCCTCAAGCATCCCCAGTCTTTCAGGCAAGCCCACTCTCTGTCCCTGATACTGTTCATATATCAGTATATCTGGGTCTTCTAACTAGCACGTTCTCACACATTTCTCCCCACTGTAGTCTTTGCAGACTTTCTTAAACAACGAGTTTCCCCCAAAGGCTCTCTCTCAGCTCTAAAGGATGCTTATTTTAGTGGCCAGGTTGGGACTCCTGAACTCTTGTCCACCATGCCTAATTGTGACCCTATGATCAAAGTGACACTTTTAACTAGCATTAATTCAGGCAGACAGCGGTTCATGACCAGCTCATGCACTGCAGGACATATTTAGAACTGTTTAGGTCATCTTTTCTAATGACTGAAGCGTACCAGATGTGAGAACCACATACGGGTTTCCTGTGGAACCAAGGCTTTTTATATCCACCTTTTAACTTTCCCACCCCTTACTTGTTTATCAAACCAAGAGCAAGATAAAAATCTGTCTCATTTACAGCTCTGCTCAGACTGATCATCATCTCCTGGAGCTGAAACTGCAGCCATGACCATCCGTCCTCGTTCTCTCCTTCTGGGTCTGCTGGTCATCCTCTACCTTCAGTCCTGTGCAGTGGGACAAAGTAAGTTGAAGTTTATGCTTGAGTTTCTGACTTATTCATTGGACACATTACATTTACAGCATTTAGCAGACACTTTTATCCAGAGCAACTTACAAAAAGAGCTATGTCTATCTAGAGAAAGTATCTTTGCTAGCTACCAATAGGTTAGGGGGAAAGCTTGTCCTGAGCTCAGATACTGCTAGAAACAAAAGTCCATGTTGATACCCAGAGAAAAAGGAACACAGTTAAACACAGTGCAGTGCAATACAATACATTTCAATAAGCACAGTATAATACATTACAATAAATTACTTAACTCAGTGCTCATTTAAGTGCTGTATAAAGAGATAAACATTCAGTCTGCATTTGAAGACCGTGAGAGACTCTGCTGTTTGGACAGCCAGTGGGAGTTCATTCCACCACCTGGGTGCCAGTACAGAGAAGAGTCTGTATGCTTGCCTTCCACGTCTTGAAGGATGGCGGGTCAAGCCGAGCTGTACTCAAAGCTCGAAGGGCTCGTGGTACAGTTAAGAGTTTTGACTATTGCCATCAAGAAGGGAGGGATAGGTCAGTTTTTGGCTTTGTAGGCAAGCATCAGGGTTTTAAATCTGATGCGTGCAGCTACAGGAAGCCAGTGAAGGGATTGCAGCAGTGGAGTGACATGCTGCTGCATTCTGGATGAGTTGCAGAGGCTTGATGGACTGCATAGCAGGTTGAAGTCACCCAAAAGTATGAGTGGGGTTCCATTGATGGGGAAGAGACTCAGAAGAATATCTCTCTCATCAATGAAGTTGCCTAGAGGAGAGGGAGGACAATAAAGTACAATGATGTGAAGTTTAGAGGGGAAAGATACAGTGACAGCATGGTACTCAAAGAAGGAAACTGAAAGATGAGAAAAAGTAAGTGAAGTGAAACGCCACTTTATGGACAAAAGCAAACCCGTGCTAATACACCTGCCAGACCTTCTCGGAGAATGGGAGAAGTGAAAGGCAGAAGACAGGGCTGCTGGAGTCGTTGAGTTCTTGGGTGTGATCCAGGTCTCTGTCAACGCCAGAAACTGCAGTGAATGGAAGGATGCTATTCTGCAGTTAATGAAGTCTGCCTTCTGCACAGTGGATTGGCAATTCCAGAGCCCACCTGCTACCCTGGTCTGGGATTCTGACGACCGTGGGGGGTAGATGAGATTAATGGAATTACGGATCCTGCAACAATGAATGGTTCTACGCGATCTGTGAGATGAGTATTATAAAGCACATGATGGACACACAAGACTAGAGCAATTAGGACAACAACGAAGGACAACAAAGTGATAAGCAGTCACGTCTCTGTTGATGAAGGATGGGACAGAGGGTTGTCAGACCTAGCTGCTACAGCCCTGTAGTGGAATACCTCCTCAATTTATCAGCCTTGTGACTGATAGCCTGGCCCCTATAATTCACAACCTGAAACCACACCTGAACTAGTAATTACAATTAAGTACTAGGTTCCACAAGACAGCCTTGTAACAAAGCTAAAGAAAGTCTCAACTCTGAGCCTACCTTTATCAGCAGAAAGACAATATTCAATTAGAAGACAAAAGCACATTATTATTTCTGTCTATTTATTATAAATGAAATTACATGTTTAACTGGTGTTCAGTTTGCTATTCCAAAATAATCAGGTTATAAATATGGCAAATGTGTTTTAAGAAGAGTAAAGTTAGAGATGATCACACCTGCTGGAACATCATTACACTCACTACCACTTTCATCTAACATTAATTTCTATTACCTCTTCATACTTTACTACTACTTCATTTTATTATTCTTCACATCATTTTCTTACAGATGTAAAAGCACCAAAAGAATGCTGTTTCAGTTCCTATACCAGACCAATCCCTGTAGCTGTTATTACTGAGTATGAAAAAACGAACCATGACTGTACAAGAGCTGGAGTGGTGTAAGTTTTCATCCCCGTCCTTTATTAACACTGGAATAAGACAAACTATATCCAATATAGTTACTTTAAGCTGCTGTTTGATGACTCTTACTGTTGTCACTTTGAACCAAACTCTGATATTACACATTTTTGTTTGTATCAGATACATTTTATGATTATCCGATCTATTAGACGAAAACACTGATGCTGATCTTTTCTTCACTGCAGTTTTACCACCATGAAGGGGTATCGTGTGTGTGTGGACCCCAGCTTTAGGTGGGTGAAGCGAGCCATGAACATAATCGATCGTCGAATTGTGGAAAGTCCAACCTGAACTCCGCAGAGTGATTACATCTCCTCTTTATTAATGGGAAAATAACTGCTTCCCGCTTTCCTGCTCTTTATGACTACAGCAGTGTGCTCGTCTCTGGGTGAAGGAATACTGCTTTTCTGTTTTTAGTAAGTCATTTTTGTATATTCGGTACGGACTGGAGAAATGTGACTTTATGTAAGGCAGACTGAAATACATGAGAATAATGTCATCAATGTGTTTTTTTTTTATAGTACATTTTATATTAGATGCTTTTTTCAATATTTGAGTAATTTGGGGTCAACAAGAAAGCATTAAATGATTAATAATATACTGTAATTCTGTGCTTAGTTATTTTTGTCATGTGCTGCAAAGATTTGAATATCATTTTTTAAAGATGAAGCACTCGATGTTCTACAGACTTTGTCATTTTAGAATCCACAGCTCTGTTCATCATTCTGGACACGTCTAACATTTCTTCTTTTTTATTTGCAGTTTCTATTTAATGATTTGGAATCTACAAAACTGTAAAATATTATCATGTTTTCTTAACTCTTATGTGAGCAAGAGTTTCTGTCTTGTCACTTTTTTCTGTAATAAAATAGTAAAAATATTAAATACAATACACTTTTGCTTTGTGTTTTCACTCAGAAGCGTAATCATATTTTAAATTTATATACTTTGTATATCAATATGTGCAACCCCATTCCCAAAAAAGACGCTGTGCAAAGTGTAAATAAACACAAAACGTAATGATATGCTAATCATTTAAACTATATTTAATTGAAAATAGTACAAAGACAAAAGACAAATGTTGAAACTGAGAAATCTTATTGTTTTTTGAAAAATATATGCCCATTTTTAATTTGATGCCAACAACACATTCCAAAAAAGTTGGGACGGGGCAACAAAAGGCTGATAAAGTTGTGTAAATAAAAGAGATGACGATGATGATAATGATGATAATATGCTTAAAAAAACACCTGGTGGTTAATTGCCAACAGGTCAGTAACATTATTAGGTATAAAAGAGCACCTCAGAGAGGCTGAGTCTTTCAGAAGTAAAGATGAGGAGGGGTTCACCACTCTGTGAAAGACTGCATGATCAAATAGTGCAACAAATGCAAGTTAAAACACCAAAACGCAAAGAAGAAATCATATATAAACAGGATCCAGAAACACTGCCACCTTTTCTGGGCCCGAGCTCATTTAAAAAGGAATGAGGTGAAGTGGAAAAGTGTCCTGTGGTCCGACGAATCAACATTTGAAATTCTTTTTCAAATCATGGACACTGTGTACTCCGGGCTACAGACCACTCAGCTTGTCATCAGTACACAGTTCAAAAGCCAGTATTCATGATAGTATAGGGGCATATTAGTGCACATGGCATGCCAAAGGAGACCACAAACTGTTGAGCAGATGAAATCCTGTATCAAACAAGAATGGGGATACATTTCTCTTTCAAAACTAAAAGAAGAGGTGATGAAACAAAGTGGTAAACATGCCCCCGTCCCAACTTTTTTGGAACATGTTGTTGGCAACAAATTCAAAATGGGCATATATTATCAGTTTCAATATTTAATATGTTGTCTTTGTAGTATTTTCCTTTAAAAATATGGTTTACATGATTTGCACATCATTGCATTCATTTTTATTTACATTCTGCACAGCGTCCCAACTTTTTTGGAAAAGGGGTTGTATATTTGTGCAAAGTGCTGTCTTGTGCTTTCAATGTGGTCATTCTGAAGGAAACAGAAATAAAGCATTAAAATGATCCCTACACAAACGTTACGTTCACATAACGTTCGCTTACTTTATTGATCAGAGCTCAAATAAATTGTCCATTCAGTCACTTATTTCAGTGAGGAACTTCAACAAGTGTATCTTGTGCCGCTTTTGCTCTTTCTGCTCCATTTTCATCCCTTGTTCCATATTTATGCACAGGAGACTGCAAACCAAAAAGTAGTGCTCAATTTTTTTCTAAATTCACAATTAGAAATGTTCTAGTTCATGTTTAATCTACATGAAAATACGCTCAATACATTTCGTGTTTAAATGGCCCATGCACTGACCTTTGAACTAACTCTAGCAGCCATGCTGCATCCTTTGAACAATAAATGTAAATAGCTCAGTTTCTAAGTAATTAGGTACACCTTCTTTGTACACTCACTGTCCATTTCATCACATAAATCCACCACAGGCATACTTTGCTACAAGATATAGCTGTACAATATAGCAATCACCCACAACCCAATGAATCAGTGAAAAAGACCACCATGCATTAATATTGTTGGTGCTGGGACAAAACCTGGCATCAGAATTAAAATATAATATATAATATATATAATATATATATAATATAATTGTTGGTGTCGGGATACAACCTTGCATCCCCAAAATGTTAGCTTTACAGGAGAAGGAAAACATTCTTAAATTTAAGTAGAAATTAATTAATAATAAAAATAAAAATGGACATACAGGGCTTTGTCCCAGCATTGACGATACGTTTGGTAGACATGATAAAATTGAAAAAGAGTGTAGAGACAAGGTATATAAACTGTCAAATCTGTGAAAGTGAAACTCCACTTTAGCCGTCCAGTTTCAGATACAGGAAAAAACACAACCCCTGTTAGATATTGTAATGGTAATAATGCCAATTCCTTACCAAAAACTACTATACTTAGAGTTCTTGGCAAGTTCACTGTTGACTTAAGCCCTTCACGACAAAATAAAACTAACATATAATATATAAGCACAGTTATACGCTTCTCAACCAATCAGACTGTAAGGTCGGGACTAACCATTGTATAAGATGTAATAAAGAAAAGGCATCAAAATAGTAATAAAACTTACTGCTTTCTTTTGATAGGTAACGTAGCTACCCCTAACATTGGCTGTCCCCCAATATTGGCTACTTCCGCGTATTGCGCATTTCATCTCTCTGTCTCCGTCAATTGCTCAGGCGAAATTCAAAACACATAAGCTCCCGCCTAACAAGGGCATCTAAACTTTATTCCAGCAAAAAATCATATCTGAAAACAATATTTGAGTATCACTAATAATGTTGTAATTCTGCATGTACAAAACCGCACAAAACACACAGCTCTTTTTCATTCCGCGATGGATATTGGTCTGTGTAGAAAGTTATCTTATCGGTTAGCTTTCTCTGCTCTGAGGTAAAAAAAAAAAAGGTTTGCCGCCATGGTAGCGTTACGTATGTGGCGTAAGGGTGCCCACAGAGGACAAACTCAACCTCATCGTAAACCACTGTAAAGCATTGAGTCTGGTAGAATGATGCGTAAACGTGATTTCTCATTTGACTGGCACAATCAGGCACGCAGCAAAGAGCTGAGCTCTATACTTAAACAAGCAAACCAAGCTGAATAATGAAACAATACAATAACATCACATTTTACTAACGAATATATACATATATTTTATGTTTAAAATGTGGCCGATATTGGGGGACCCCCATCATTCTAGCGATACTAGTATCAAAGTAAACAAAAACGTTACTATTGAAAAAACTGTTTTCTCATCATCATCAAATGACTCTTGGACATTAATGCACGCATGTTTCTCTCCCGAAAAACATTGATTTGGGTGAGTAAAGTGCTTTCATTTATTTACAGTTAGCTTAGATTCCTGGTGTTCTGTTTTGAGGTGGCCAATAACAGGGGTACATAGGCTAGCACTTCTGTGTTGTTGTGAAAGTCCTGGCCAATACTGGACAGCTGCTGTTTCCTATTGAAATCCTGTAGAAATTCATATTAGTATTGATCATGTTCATAAAGGTATGTTAAAGCAAAAACACCTACATTTTTAGTTCTCCAACCATTTTGCATCATAGAACTGCAATATTTAAGACTTCAGAACACAGTAAAGTGAGCTAGCCAGATCCAGTAAGACTGCAAATGCTGTATGAGAAAACACAAACACGCTTAGCTAACGCGCTAACGTGCTAACCGCGAATTTACCCGCTAGCTAACGTGCTAACGCGCTAACCGCGAATTTACCCGCTAGCTAACGCGCTAACCGCGAATTTACCCGCTAGCTAACGGGCTAACACGCTAACTGCGAACTATCCCGCTAGCTAACGTGCTAACACACCAACGGTAAAAGCTTTTGCGCTATCTAAAGATACACAAAGCATAAAAATAAGTTAACTAAGCTAGCTAGTTAGCTAAAGTCACATTTAGGTCATATATTTACCACAAAGAAATTACTTCACATTCTTTCTACCACAGAGGTTTACATTACTAACTGTACATACACTGCAGAGTGAGAGGCAGAGACAGCTACCCGTTCAGCTCCTGACAGAAAGAAGGGAAAGAAGAGTCCGCCGTCTTTCTCCTCCAACGTCATGATGTCGTCACCTTCTGTTGACGCATGCGCAGACAGAAAAGCAGACCTGTTAACACCTTTATTAAATCACTTTAACCACTGATTTACACTCAGTCAGACTTACATCAGTTATATGTAAACAATACATTTCCAGCCAATGAGCTCTTATATTTTTTAGTCAGTTGAACACAATTCAGATAATTAAACTTGTCCCAGTTTTATTTTTTAGAGAGATGTTCCCAACTGGCTCTGTGAGTAAAAAAGAATGAGAACTTTTACATGGGGCTGCTTTTTCTAAATAGTTACTCATTTGGATTTCATCTTCTCTGACTATGTCAAATGATTGCACTTTTAAATGAATTTAAATTAAAATGCTAATTAATTTAATTCCCTTAGCAGTTAGAGGATATAAGCCTGGCACAGGTCAACAGTTTATAATAACACAAATTAGTCAAGGCCTGTTGTTGTTGTTCTTCTTCTTCTTTTTCTCCTTCCTGCTTGTATGCTAGCCTAAAAGTAAGGAGTTATCTAAAGCCTTATTTAAGTTGGATTAGGTTTACCCGAGGTGGTAATATAATGTGTTCAGTAATGTAATTCTGTGCAGGGGAGTGTAAAGCAAGATTTCTCAATTCAGGAAGACAACTTAAGCCTGTCCGATAGGAAAAGAACTGGGGGACATTTCTATTGGATGATCATCATCTTTGAGCTTAAATTATCTGGCTAACCGAGAAATCCTGCTTTGTGAAATACCCCCTGCCCAGGTTTTGTCTGGACCATTCATACAGTATCTGTAAATATTTCCTTTACCCAGATAGTCTGAATGTACACACCCATGTTACAACTATGGACACTTGTAAAAACTAAAGTCATTGCATACTGATTGTAATCACTTACATTATGTTTTGCAACGTATGGGGCATATTAGCATTTTTATATCTGGGCCTCTTTTGGCTCACATGCTGTTTGCCAGTAGGCAGCACTGCTATATCTGTGCCAGAAGTGGACCAGATCTGTTTTGGGACATGTGGGCCACCTTTGGGTCACATGCAGGTTGCCAGTGCCGACAGTGTGGCAGCAGTGCCATATCTGTGTGAGTAGTGGTCCACATCCGTACACTATCTGGGAAGTGGTTAATTCTGCTCTAAGCTCGACTGGGCTTATATGTGTCCAGTCCTGTTTAACACAGGACAAGCTAATTTAACACCCCTGAGGTTACTGAGAATTTCCTCTCTGAGCTACGTTTGTTTGTGGTTTGTCAAGTCT